CCCTACAGCAGGCACAGCGGGCCGGCATTGGTGTGTGCAAACACCTGCTTTTTGTCTACGTCAAGGTATGAGGGAGCACGCCTGGGGCCGTGTGCACGTTGGAGATTGATGCACTGTAAGCACATTTTGCTTTAGTGCACCAACCTTTCGGCACACAAATGCAAACATAAGCTTGCCTCCAGGGTGATCCGAGGTGGCTGGGGCAAGGATGCCAGCTGCTGCAGCAGGCCGCCCTCCCTCAACCCTGTGTGCTGTGGGTGCTGTGCCAATCTGAACCCAGGTGCTGGGCCTGGACCCCAACAACGAGCTGTCCTGGCAGAAGGCCCTGACGACCTCAGAGGTGAGCAGTGTGGCTAAAATCTCTCCGTGAGTGGGCAAGCGCACATGCCTTTACTGTGCGTGCGCGGCACCTCGCCGTGTCGTCATGCATTTGGGAGGTTGTTGCTGGCAGGCAGTGACGACAATCAACCCCCTCCACAACGTTGCCACCCTTCACCATGCTAGCTTGACGGAATCCTGGATGGCAAGTACTCCGCCCGCGGTCCCCGCGCCACCTCGCCGCCTGTCACCACCCATGTGGAGCACTGCTGCAGCGGCCCCATGCTGCGCAACGGCGTCATGGCCAGCGCCGAGGCGCGCGCTGAGTACACGCGCATGGCTGGTGCGACCGCATCGTCACTGGCGGCGGACGGGGGTGCCGTGCGCGGTGGTGGCAGCTGCAGCGGCGCGGTGCGGAAGAAGGTGGATGGCTGCTGCCCGAGTGAGCAGGGAGGGAACATGGAACTCAGGTTGCCGAACACAATGCCCAGCTGGCAATGTGTATGCACGGCTGGGCTGTCAAGCTGCACCACGCGCACGTTGCACATGTATGTGTAAGGAAGCCCTCCTGCGCCATGCACCAGGCTTCTGCTCGTTATCTTGCTGGCTCCTCTTTTGCTTGCTGGCTGTGTCCCGGAACCCTTCAACATGCTTCGCGGCATGTTCACACCCCCCCTGTTTCCACCCTCCTCTGCCGCAACATGTCAACCTGCAGTCTGCTTCAACGAGATGGTGGCGGGCGCAGCGTCCACATCCTGGTGCGCCGCCTGCGGCAACAACCTCCACACCCTCTGCATGCACCGCCTGGCAGACGCCGTGCGCAAGCGGCGCGAGCGGCTCGCGTGCTGCTTCTGCCGAGCGGATTGGGAGGCGGGCGACCTCGAGCCCGTCAACCTGCGGGACTTCAGCAAGGCGCACAGGTTGGGGCTGGACTTGTCTTCTTGTTTGATACCAGGGGTATGCTTGGGGCTTACTTGTTCCACCATCGTACGAAAGAAAGGAGGAGCAACGGGACTGCATGGGCTCTGGGCAGGTGGCGCCAGAGGCTTGAAATCACCACCACCATTCAAAGCCGCGGCAGGCAGCCGGCTTTATGGTTGTTTTTGCTGTTTGGCAGCCGACAATGAACCCATCTTTTGCATAAGATCCCATCTCCTTCTCCCGCCTGCTAAGTTTCTTCCCTGTGGCCACCACCACCAGGGAGGCCGACCTGTCATTCAACACCCGGTACCCCGGCTACCGCGGGCAGGTTGGCGGCTCATACCGCCGCACGCCGGGGGCTGTGGAGAAGCAGCCGACATGGCACGACGGCGGCGGCGTCAAAGGTGCTGACGCGCCTGCAAAGGCGACTGCCGCCAAAGTGATAAAGATCGACTGCAGCAGCGACGAGGATGGGGACGGAGGCTTGCACGGCATGGACGATGACGAGGGCCGTGATCATTGCAGTGACGAACAGGAGTGCGCCGGGCACGGCCACAGCAACGGCAACCAGACTGGGGACTTGGACACAGCCAGCGGCTGTAGGGGCATTGGCTGCAGCCTTGGCGCTGACGAGGGCTTGCAAAGGCGTGGCAATGAGGTGGCCAGGGGCAGCGGCCTTGATGTCATCGACGAAAGTGATGACGAGGTGGCAATTGTGGGAGAGGTGTTCAGGGCCTGCAACGGCCAGATGGAGAGCGGCGCCTCAGAGGAGGAGGCAGACGAGGAAGATGGAGAGGTGGACGTTTCTGATTGGGAGGTCAGCGAGCAGGAGATGGCGGAAAGTGGTGGGGCGGGGAGCGAGGGGCTGGGGAGCGAGGATGAAGACGAGTCGCAGGACTTCGGAAGCGAGGGGAGGTCGGATGACTTTTGAGGTGCTGTTCACTTGGCGTTGAGCGCTGCTTGTACACTGGCGTAAGCCAGTTTGCAAACCTGCAGAATCGTTCCAGGTGTGCACGCCTGTACTTGTGGGCCCTTGCCTATCCTTTTTCGCTTGGCCAGGCAGTCCTGTGTGACCCCCAGGCACGGCCTGCTGCTTTGGCGGGCCCTGCTGGCCTTGAGATTGTGCTG